CAGCACAGGTGATTCCCACGAGTTCGGTGTGCAACACATCAAAACGGAGCAAGTGTCAAGTGTGGCAGCTTTGTCTTGTATCTGCCGCGCAGGACATGTTCTGTGACAAAACCCGAGCGTTCCATACATCCGCCCAAGAGAGGGGCACCTATATAAGATTGGCCTTTCCAAAAGCTGATATGGCTTGTCTGTGAAACGGAACTTGTGTGTGCGTGGGCGTATCTCTCAAGCAGGAGAACCCGCCTCCCTTTAACAAAAACAAAAACAACCATGTGCGGTTTCCTTTCGGACGGCCTTCAGATCAACTCCCAAGTAAAAAGCCGCAAAAGACCAGCACCCGCAGTTTGAAGACTTCCTTGGCCGCAGTTTGACCCATCCAACTAGGGGCCCTTTTTTCCCCTTTTCTCTTTTTTCTCAAAGTGGTCAGTGACTCTCCAAGGTTTGGGGGGAAAGGGAGGCCCGGAGCCCCCAACTCCCCGAACATGGTGCCAGACTGGCGTCTGAGGTGAGACCGAATCTCCCCAAATCAAAAGTCGATCAATCGGAGGCTCCCTGGAAAGGGACATGGAAAAATGTTGGAGGAAACGGATCTTGATCTTCGAATGGTCCCTTCAGGCTGTCCCCCATTCGCATGGCATTGCAAAACGGTTCCTCTCGGCGCCCCGCTGCACCGGGCCACGAGAGCGATCGCGCATACACGACCACGCTGGACCTGGCGACTTCAAACAGCGGGGAGTTCTAGGAACATGAGTGGCTGCGTCTCTTGTTATAGGGGAACCCCCAAAATGGGTGGTTTCCATTTGGTTTCCCTTTAAAACCACAAAAAAGAAGTACCCTCAGCTTTTCCAGACACACCCAAGTGATAAAAAGGGGGTCGATAAAGCATGCCCCGACGGGGCTTTTGTTGAAGGATACCACCAGAAACCTGCCAGTTTCCAGTTGGGCTCGTGGTCTTTTTGGACGCACCTATTCTAACCAGTCAGTTGAAGGGTTCAACTAAAGCAGAACGAGCCGATAGCCAAACCATGAAAGTCCTGATTGACCCCTGGGTGTTGAAGTGACCCAGTACTCAGCCCGGATTTTCATGTTGACCACAGTGATCCATGCAAGAGACTCCTGGGTTGCTATTTCCTCGAGCCCCGGAAACCTAGAACCCCAATCTGGTCTCCCTGGACATGCTGGCGATATCTGTTTCGCTGGGACCGGTGAAGTTCCACTGCACATATGCCATTATCTCCATTTGCATATTGGCGCCTGAAAAAAAAGAACAAACAGCAGAAAACAAAAAAGTGGTATTTTCTGAAAATCCGGAACCCGGAACCTTCTGGAACCCTCCGGAACCCTCCCCGAAAGCTGCCCCAAACCACCCCTTATCACCTGTCTGGACAAAGCAACCGTAGCTTTCAGTTGTTGGGGGAAAACATATACAAGTCAAATCCAAGACCCGGGCTGAGTTGTGGTCCCTTTCGAAATGCAGCCCTTCTCGAAAAGGATTATTTTTGTTAAAAGGGAATCAGGGGACCCTCCCCCAAAATAGTAAAACGGTGTTCCTTTTGGTGTCCTTTACACACCGGAAAAAAAAAGGAAAAAAACAAAAAACATGGCCTTAAAAAAGACCGACAGACCCAAAGGCTCTTTCCGCCTCAGAGACCCCTTACCCGAAAAGCCATTCGCCTCAACGGCAGCGCCGGATCCGCTGCTCGGTACAACGTGGGGTCGCCAGCCTCAGCAACTTGACCCTAAGGCCACCCCTGGAGTCCTGGCCAAATTTAGCTGCCACTCGAAGGAGTCCACAAGGTATCAACACCTGGTATCAAAGTGATCTACCCAACACCTTGTAAAAAAAGAAGCACATACACACACAAGGGTGGATATATCATGAATATCCTTTTCTATTCAAGGATCTTGATTGAAGGCCTCAACTTGGCGAGTGTGGTGCTTGGCCAGGTCGCCGGCCTGCTTAACGCTCCACTGAAAGCCATCCTCGTGCAGGCCCCGCAAAACCTGCGAAAGGATGACATGCGTTGGGTGTCTGTTGTTAGCGGACCCCCCAAATGGTGGTTTCCTTGTGGTTTCCCTTCAAACAAACCCAAACACAGGTGCCGCCCACATAAAGACGCGCAGGATTTGCGGGCAAATCACAAAGCTACCCATATTTCCGACATCCCTCCACCAAGAGGAGCTTCTGGTGCGAAATGGTGATGCTTGGATTGAAAAGGGGCGTGGGGAAGAGTGGAGGATACATACCGTCCGTGGTGTTATTCGGTGTTCATTTCACTCCTTCTGAAGCAACGACGACTTGCTGTATACCGCCCTAGGGGTCCTGCAGAATTTGGGCCCCGTTCCTTGAGTTCTCCATATTTCAAGCCCCACCCTTACGGAACCGCATGAAAAATGCCACAAGCTCAAATTGCGCCAGTATGCGCCAGTGTGGTGAAACGATAAGCGATCTGCATCCGGTCCCTCATGTTAAAGGGGTACACTCATGTACCTCTCGTTTGACCCTCCCGGGAAATTCCGAATCCACTAAGAAACCACATCCCTTTTCGGAAAACATATTGTCAGCGGTAGCCACTCATGTTTCGGCCTGCGGGGCGGGGTCGGCCTCCTGCTCCTCGCGTCCATCGCGACATCGATCGCATGGTTTTGGCTTCCTGAAAAATTGAATAGGGAACCCTTTTAGGGCCGTCAAAATCCCAGCCATGCGGGGCTTCCCATAACTGAGCTCCAAAAGCGTGGACAGCGTGGTGTTGCGCTAGCGCTTGTCGATCGTGCCTTAGGCTGTGACATGTCAAAATGAGAAAAACAACTGATTATGTGCCAAGTGCCCCCTGACGGCGCACCCCGAATGGCCGCAACCAATATACCGACCTCATACCCGATATATGTGGTATACAGCCCCAAAAAGAGGAAATATGGGTTCCCAGTAAATTGCTCTGGGGGCACCCCTTTACACCCTCTTCAGGGTTCCTGAAAGGAATCCCAAAACCACCTGCTTTCTGAAGAGGAATCCTCTGAATCAGCAAAAATGTGCGATTTCTTTGCTAGCACAGGTTCTTCTTTCGTTTTTTTCCGGGGACCCCGCCCTGCGCGACAGCCAACCACACAAATCCATCGGAGCTCCTCTTTGAGCTTTTCAGCCTCAGCGATCTCCTCGGGTGTGTCGCCCTCCGGGATCTCTTTGTGCGTCGTACGCCCATTGAGCAGGATGTGCGGCCTGACGCTTTCCGCAGAAAACATCCCTTGCCAGCCCAGTCTGCGACCTGATGCCCAGTGGATTGTCCATGGGAAAAAAAGAATCGGTATCTTTTTTTGTTTGGTTGGTTGAGTTTAAAGGGGAACCCTTCGAAAACAAAAGGAACACAGGTATTGATTCGAACCCGTTCCCTGACCAAATGGGTTCTAATGGGTTGCAAATGGATGCTATACACATGACTGCCCTTGGGTGCAAGCTGGAATTGATTTATTCGAACCCGTTCCCTGACGATCGAACCGCTTGAGGCGTACAGCAACACGCACAGCTCTGAGCGGAGGGCTGCATGTGGGTCCAAGCCTGCACCAGCCCGAAGCGAAAACGAGGAGCCCAAGCCACATGGCCATTGCAGTCAAAATCCAAATCGTACCCCCAGTGAACATCCGATTCAATCCCCACTCAAAAAGGTTCTAAAATGGGTGGTGCGCCTGCCCCAAAATGGGATCCCATTTTTTTTGACCCACAGCCACATGAGCTATCAGACAAGATTCGCCCGTGGAATGGGCGTCGGCCAGCCTTCTCACTCGACATAACAAAAGACTAAGAGTGACTAACAATGAAGTGCTCGGTCGGTTGCTCGCATGGAGCCAGTTGGGCCCTTGCCACAATGAGGTTAGTGCAATGGTACCATAACTTTTAGGACCCACCAACACAAAGCTCAAGGCGCTCGGGGGCCAAACATATGGATTTGCCGCTTCCGGGGTGTGTGGGCCTTTCAAAGGGCTCATAGCCAAAGAGTCCGTCGGTTCAACATGGGCTGGAGGGGGATCCCCAATCCGAGTTTCCCGAATCCGTCAAGAACTGCCTAATCCATCTGTTATTGACATTCATGGATTCTTTGAATAGCCCAGTCCAAGGTCGTCTAAGGGCGCAATACCATGAATGTCCATCCCAGGGCTTCTTTTTTGAGTCCACCTGAACAGTAGGTCTCATGTTTCAAATGGCCAGTTATGGGGGCCTGTGTTGGTTCTGCTCCTTGCTTCTTCCTTGTTCCTCCCTCCTTTGTTCCCTGCTCCCTGCTCGCTGATCCTCCCTCCTTTCTCCTCCCTCCTTTCTCCTCCCTCCGTGATCCTTTGCTCCTTGTTCGTTGCTCTCTGCTTGCTCTTTGCTCCCTGCTCCTTGCTCCCTGCTCCTTGCTCCCTGCTCGTTTCTGTCTGCCTTTCGTTGTTCGATGTGAAGCCTTTTGATTCATAACTCATATCTGCTTCTCTTTGTTTCTTACTCCTGCTCCTTGCTCCTCCTTGCTCCTCCTTGCTCCTCCTTGCTCCTCCTTGCTCCTCCTTGCTCCTCCTTGCTCCTCCTTGCTCCTCCCTGCTCCCCGAGGATATAGGAACCCCTCAAAGCGATGATGTGGAGGAATCTCATTATTTAAACCAAGCTCCTTGATTTTTGAAGGAATCTCGTTGAGGACTTGTTGGGTTCCTTGCGCTTATTTGATTCTGGGAACATTTAGAGCTCGTCCATGTCCCCAAATCGACCGTCTACTGGACATGTTCGGAATGAGCCTGGGAATGAGGGAATGAACCTGGGTGGCCCCTTGAAGGAAACCACAAGGGATGGTTCCTAGGGGTCATTCCCTTATTCCCCACTGAGCACCAGCAAGCAAAACCGCATGAAGTTGCAAACGTAGAACAGCTCTGCCTCCTTTTTCATCAGCTCGGCAGGAGCTGGGCATACAAACTCCGCGTTCTCCTCGATGTTCTCCCCGTCTTCCTCCTGAAAGCCACAACAAAAAGGAACCGCACTAGGGTATGTGGCAAAATAGGGGGGTCCCAAATGATGGTGTTGCTTCCGGTTTTCCGTCAAGCTACTCTGAAACCGATACCCTCAAAAAACTCATACCCCCTTGTGACTCCCAACATAAACATTGAACCCGGATTTCAATTTTCCATGCTAACCTGCAGGTGAGTAACCCCGCCAATGTGCAAGCTGATAGATGCTACATAGGTGGCTCAGAATTCCCGAGCTAGTGCACAGGTGTTGGTCTTTGTTGCCACTTGCCAGGGTACCATTTCTCAGTTGCCAAAGGTCGGCTTTGGGCAACTGAGATTTTGTGTACCACTTATTGAGCCGCCATCTATCCCCTTTTGCTTTCCTTTTGGGGAAACCACTTGGCTATTCAGCGTCCAGTGACGGGTCCCTATAACATGGCCTTCCTGAAACCTCCCCGGTGCGTAAGGTTACCCTATCAGGCTCCATGGTACCCGATGAACGGAAGCAACCTAGAAAACGGGTCTCCCAACAGAGTTTTCCTCTTATTGAGATGTTTGGAGTTCCATGCTAAGCAGGTCTTGATCAGCGGCGGTTTACTGACGATTTGGAGAGAGAGAGAGAGAGAGACAAAAAAAGAAAGAAAGAAAGAAAGAAAGAAAGAAAGAAAGAAAGAAAGAAAGAAAGAAAGATACCAAGGAGTCCTGCTGGAACAAGCGGGTTTCACGTCAAATTATTAACTTAGATCCAACCGCAAACCAGCAATTGCCATCTATCTGGGTGTGTCTCAAAGTAGGAATCCTCAAAATTGGTGGTTTCCCTTTGGACTCCTTTCAAACCACCTCAAGAAAGGTACCATCAACAAATGACACATCTATCATCATCTATTTTCTACCAATACAACGGACATCAACGCATCCCCATCCTTCTGCAGGAAGCCCTTGGGGCAAATCGTCGTGTCTGCGGTGATGCGCGCAATCTGGGCGCGCAAGTACACCTGCGGGATGTCAGTTGGCTCTCTTCGGAATGTCAACTCATGCGCGGCTCCGCGTTCCGATCCGATTTGTTTGGGTGGGGATCAATCCGAAGTTCGCATGCAGGGCTCGATAATTGCGTCTTTCCTAATGATCGGGCTAGATGTGGTAACTGTGTCTATGAGCTCAGCTCCCTCGTGACTAAGTTGACATTGGGTTTGTCTCCAAATAGGCTCCCTCCCCAAATGGTTGGTTTCCTTGTCGTCTCCCTTTACAAGGCAAAGGGAAGAGCCCGGGTAAAAAAGACACACCCACATGTTCACATGAGTCGCAATCAAAACCTGGTACCAAAATGGTCTACCCAGAACCATGTACCGGATTAAGAAGGCGGCCGCCGCTATTTCTGGTTGGGATCGTCCCTGACTAACCTTCATCTACCCGGGTTTTGATTGTGGCTCACATCTTCTTTGGCACCTCAAAGGCGCCCTTCACGTCACCATTTTTTGGATACAACACAAACACCCGCTTTGCAAGGAGATCCAAGGGTGATTCTTTTCGCTGGCCCAAATGGGTGTGTCTTTTGTAGGGACCCCCAAAAAGCAGTGCTTTCCTTTTGGTTTCCCTTTCAAACCACCCGTCAAAAAAGACACACCCAAATGTATCCTTTACGGGGACCCTCAAAAAGCTCGACGGCGTTTTCGAGCTTTTTGCAGCTTCATTTCGCACCTCCTCCTTGCCGTCAAAGTATGGATGAGTGATGACCTGTCATGAGAATCGGGTCAAATTTAAAAATGTGTGTGTGTGTGTGCGCGTGCTTTTTAACGGTACGCTTTTCAGGTTGGTGTCATGGGAAACCAAAAGGAAAGCCCACCATTTTGGGGGACCTACTTTGACACAATACCAAAACTTCCATCGATCTCAGCCAATCCTGTGAGCAGCTGGTCTGGGGACCACCTTCTTGGGTGAATATGGCTCTGCCTTGTTTCGAGTTGGCCCCCTTTTTGGTTTGTTTTCACAGGGAAACCAAAAAGTCAAACCACAAAACTGCGCGGGGGGGGGGGGGTTCTCCTAAAAGCAAGCAAATCCACCTCCAGCGCAATCCTGCGACTGCCGGATTTGATCATGTGAAACAAGCCCCGCCGATTCTTTCATCATGGGACCCCTTTCGCTGGTCTACACTCCCAGGCTGTCCATCCCTACCCGAAGCTATACCTTGCGGACCCAAAGCCTCAGGTGAAGCCCCTCTTGAAAACATGGGCTTCCACAACGGGTCGGGGGAAAAAAAAAAACAAGAACAACAACAAAAAGCCAGCCATGCTTGTGGGTTTTTTTTCCAGGGAAGCGCCATTTGACCACAGGCGAGCGCCAGCAAGCGGGAACCGGGCCTTGGATCCCGCGTTGCCCGTTACCAACCTCTTGATGGCTCTTGCTGCGATCACCTGGCGGAGTGCATGTCTTGGGCCCACCAGGTGTTCGGACCATAAGGCAAGGAGGTCAAAAGGGCCGGCTCAACCAACAAAAGCACAGACACAGTCAGCCAGGGTTCACCCCGAAATTGGGAGG